TTGTACACTTGCGCCCCCCCTGACCCCCCCCCAGCCTTGCACACTGGAGGAGACAGGCGGACCTGAAGGGAGGGATTCCGCACATTCTAAGTGGATGCCAGCCTCCCCAGGGTTCCTGCAAGTGGATTCATTCATTAAAACACCCCTTGCTAGTATTTGTGACTACCACCTGGCCGCCACTGGGCTTCCTGTATTTGCTTATTAATTTATCCCTTATTCATCCATCATACTGTGAGTGTTGAGTGGCGGAGGGGAGCACAAGATCCCTGGAAATAGATCTCCCCACTTTCATGGAGGAGCACAGAGCTCAGAAACAGCGGTGGTGCGACAGGGGTCTGAGGTGATTGAGGGCTTGAAAAGGCTCTCGAAGTCCTCATCCCAGGGCCTCTGCCCCTCTTCCTCTCTTAGCGCTGGCCTCACACCAATGATCCATTCCAGACATGTTGCCCAGCGCCTCCCCTGTGCCTGTGGATGCTGGCTTGAATAGCTGCCCTGGAAAGAGGGCACCCCTATAGAAAATGGAGGGGAGTGGGGACCAGCAGTGCAAGGGTAGAACTCCTTTGAATCAGCCAGGCTATAGCACACTGGTGCCACAGTCATGACATAGAGACCAGTGTGGGGACCAGGGCCGGGCAGCCCTCTGGACCCCTACTGGTCATTAGCAACACAGTTTAAGGCCATAGGGAACTTAAAAGTGTTTCTCAGGTTTTTTGCTCAAAACAAGAACTCTTCACTTGGGTCTAGACACACCCAGTAGATGACTAAGAGCAGAGCAAGGCTTGCCCTTCATTTTGTGAAACCCTGGGTCCCAGCCTTCTCAGCTCTCCACACAGGCTTGTTTGTCGTTTAGGAAGCAGTGTTTCCGAGCCCTGAATTTATCCAGCCTATCTCAATGACTCTCACAACCAACCCAAGACACAGGATGAGAGGTTTATGAGGTCACACAGAAGTCTCCAAGCACCATGGGAAATTATTTCACAGAAACGAACAATCAGTGGAATCATGAGGATTCCAGAGCCACGGAACCAGGGCTGAGACAATGTCTGAGACACTGGATCACAGTCAAGGCTGGCCTCCGGCTTTACGTGTGGGGCGTTCTGAACCCCACCATGTCTTCTCCCCAGCTTTCCAGTGAAAGCTTTTTTCAACATGTGCTGTTCTTGAAATTTACATGTCTTCTGAAGTGAGGACCTGGGCTAACTGGTGACATGGCAGAGGCATGCACTTGTGCATGAAGACCCAGCTGCAGGACAGTCGTGTAGTCTCTTTCCCTGGGCTGCCCCAAAGATGAGCTGATGATCTTCCTTCAAAGCAACTTCAAGCACAAGAAATCAGCACCTGCAGTAAACATCCTGTGGACGGAGGGAATTTTGAGTTTTGTGCTAAAGATCTTTGCATTGCTGTAGCCCAGTTGGCTTGACCTCTTCCTCGAGAGGAAGTAGACAGAGCTGTGTAGACGATAGAGACGTGCCTCTCCCTGGTCTCTGAACATGCCCTGAACTTAAACCTACATAGGTTGACACCACAGGAGACCGGAGGATGAGGACTTTTCCATCATAAATACAGGGCAGGGGTAGAGCTGGGTACAAGCTGAGAGTGGAATTGGTGTGGGCACTGCCACTCAGGGTGGGGTGGATGATTGACAGCAGAGGGTGAGCCCAGCCATCATCAGGGTCCCCAGAAACACCTCGTGTCTCTTACCGTCTCCTTCTCAGGGCCCGGCTGGCTCGAGGGAAGTGAGGTTGGGGCCGAGAAACTGCCTTTTCAGATAAAGGAAGGGGAAGCCTTCTGTGGAAATTCCTTTCTCGCACACGGATGCCTACTCAGGTTTTGAGAACCAAACTTTTGAAACTGATTTTTATATCTGATAAAATAGGATAGATGTCACATTTTGTGGACAAAATATGTTGAAACAGGATAAATGTCACATTCCATGAGATATGTACTTTGAGTTTTCAAATGCATATGCACATTGTTAAAACTCCTTAGGTGACTGTTCACTGGTCTGATCTGAATAGAGTCAGAGTGGGGAATGACCACTGGCTTCAGGGGACAGACAGACAAAGACGTGAGCCTCCTCACCCCGACCCCGACTGTTCTCTGCTCTGCTGATGTGCTCAGGGGAGACCTCTGATCACAGGGCCAGTGGCTGGGCTACAGCTGCCCTGTCACTGAAAGCAGGACAAAGCTGGGCATCTCCATCTTCATTTTATACCTGGCTCCTTTATTATTCTTCAGATGCCCAGTCAGACCCTTGCAGCTCTCTATGTGAGGATGTTAGTCACTTAGAGAGTGTCTGCCGATAGGAGAGGCTTCTTAGCACTCAGTGTACCTAACCTATCTTATCCTGCTTTGAGACTGGGGCAATGGTTTCACAATGGTTTTGTTTAAGAGGCCCCTGCAGTGACTCCAGGGAACCCCAGACATCATCCTTATATGCAGTCACCTCAGAGTCCAGATTCTCCATAAGATACCTGAAGCCAGGTGTGGAGCTCTATTCTTCACACTCAGGAGGCTGAGGCAGGAGGATCACTGTGGGTTTGACACCAGCTTGGGCTACAAAGTGAGTTCCAGTTCAGCCTGAACTACATAACAAGACCCTGTCTCAAAAAGCAAAACAATTAAGATACCTGATATTTTCAGAACACACAAGTACATAACGCATATTTTGTAAACTTCTTGAACTGCATAACCATCTTCATGATCCAGGTTTGGAAATCTCCTGGGCTGGGGGTGAAGTTCAATGGTAGATTAGTTGCCAAGCAGATATGAGGCCCTGGGTTCAGTCTCCACTACTGTAAACAAAAAGCCCCCAAACATGTAACAAATGAAAAACAAAAGGATGTTTCCACCACTCAGAAAGATTCCTTTCAGTTAATTCTCATTTTTAGTGCACGCCCAGGCAAGCTCTAGTTTGCTTTCTGTCCCTATAGCTTCACCCTGTATGGACATGATATAGTATAATCTTGTCTTCTCTTTCACTTAGCATGAGGTCTTGGGGTCCATCCAAGCTGGAGCCTGCACCACCCCCTTCCACTGCCTAGCAGTACACCACTGTACGGATCCAGCACATTTTCACATCTGGGGTTGTTTTTTTTTTTTTTTGGTACTGGCTATCAAACTCATGACCTTGTGCTTGCCAGGCAAGCACTTATGTTGCTGAGCTAAATCCCCAGCCCGGATCCAGCACATTTTGAAAACACATTTTGAACAAAAAGCGTTTAGCACTGGGGCAAATGTGTTAGAAAGCTGAGACGCGTACCTACTCTGAAGAGCCTTAAAAAATGAAAAATACTCTGAAGAATAATATTAAAAAGTAGCACTGCAGGAAGGTGAATCAGCAGAGCAGCGGAAGATGGATCAGAATAGAACTCGAGAGACATTGGTTGAGCAGCTCTAGAACTGAGCCCTATCCAGGACCAAACAGAGTGGACTGTGGTGGGTGACAGAGAGGGTCTCTGCATGAACCCTTTTAGTTCTCCATCTGCTTCTTCTTCCCATGCACCATTGGGGTTTCTCACAGGTCCAAGCACACGCCAGACCCTCCCCTTCCAGCCAGCATCGCATAGTGAATGGCTGCTTGGCTAGGGCTCCTGTCCTCAGCTCTGCTGAGGGCCCTAGGTAACCGGTCAAACGCCCTAGTCCTGCAGCTTGCTCCCGTGCCTCTCTGTTGCTTTCTTTCCGAGCACTGATTTATCACAGCCATGGTTGCATTGTCTCCCTGCTTGTTTTCCTCCCCAAACTTAAAGCCAGGTCTGCTTTCGTCTTCTAGTTTATCTTGTGTTCAGCGTAGTGCTGGCTTAACTCGAAGACTACTACTGAGTGTGCAGAACTTGGCTATGAGACTTCCCACAGGGAAAGTGTCGCGGATGGAAGAATGAGGAGGTTGGAACCTCTAATGCTCTCACCAAGCATGGAGGAGCCAAAGAGAGCAGGGCGTGGAGGGGGAAGCAATTCCTGCAGGGGTGTGCAGGGTGGCATCATTGCAGGCATGGTGGACACCTGGCCAGAAGAGCTCAGCAGGAGACAGAGAGCAAAGACATGAGGGGACAGACTCCAGAGTGCCCCCAGAGGCCATGAGAGCAGATGTGTGTTCACAGGGATAGACTGATAAATGCAACTCTCAAGAGTACAGATGAGCAGAGGGCAGAGGCAAGGCCACTCCCCAGGGAGCAGCACACTAGGCCCCATGTCCTCAGGGCAGGCCCCTGATAATCCTAACCCAAACCCCCTGTAACCCAAACTAGTGACCCCCAACTTCCTTCACACCAAATCTTTACAGATGACCTAAGAGCTCGAAGGAGCTTGTGAGTTCTGTGTCCAGGGCACAGATGTTTGCAGATGGCGAATGGCAGGCCTTTCCTGACCCCCAGTTAGTGGCAGAGATGAATTTACAATGAGATTCTAACTTGGCAGCCCAGCAGCCTCCATTCCTCCCATTGTTAAACTTTGCATTAAAACAGGAGTGTTCCATATATGCTGAGTATTGGTCTATTATTGTCTGTGGGGTTCACTTCTGTCCAGTTACCTAGCAGTCTCAGAGGAAAGAAAACAGCTACAATGGAATAGCTTGAAATTTTTCCAGTACTGAAATCACATCTTGAAGAATCTGCTGAACCAAGAGAAGAACGTAAAGCTATAATCAGAAAGAACTCTAGAGAAATGGGCATCTTCCGGGTGGCTGACCAGGAACCAACACCATGAACCTTGCCAGAGAGCAAACCTTTGAGAGGCTGGTGACCTTGGTTTGAACAAACCCCAGAGACTGGATTTTCAGTAACAGCTACTCAGTAGAAGCTACAGGATGTGATGCCCCCAGCTACCAGCATGGAAAAGTATTAGCTGAAACATGACAAAGTGATACATAAATTGAATTAACAAGCATAAAATACATAGTTGAATTAACAAATAAGAGATACCCTTAGGTGCTGGAAACAAAGAGGAACTGGGGCAAGACTGAGAGAGGCAGCTTTGCCTCCTTGACACGGAGCAGGAGATATTCAACCAGGCCTCTGGGAGGAACCGCTTGTCCACACCCACCGGAAGGCAGGAGGGGGCCTGGAGTGGAGTTTAACTGAGACTGTTTCATAAAGCCCAGCGCCTTGGAGCACAACACAGAGGAAACAAAGACAGCTACACCCAGGAGCCTCAGCTCAGGGCTCCAAAACTGCAAGTCCGAATTTACGCTCGCTGTGGGGCTCAGCTGCTGATGCCGAGTTGATCACGGTCATGTGGCCATTCCAAACCTTGACCTGACAGCACTATAGGAATGCTGAAAGAGTTTAGAGTCATGGAAGAAATTTTCAAGGAGGAAATAAAAATGTCAGGAGCATACATGACAGCCCAGGATGGCCCCAGATGGAGCAGGCAGAGTCACCAAAACAGAAGGTAATGGAAACTTGAAAGGGAGTTTGAATAAGGGCAGGATGAATAGGTTCAGACAGACTCGCTTTTTTAATTTATGAGTAAAACCTTTATTTATTTATTTTTGGTTTCATAAGACATCTGATTTTTTAAAAAATGCTAGACACGGTACTGAGTTGAGTGATGTTCTCTCCAAACTCACACCTATCTGGTCTTCAGCATGTGAGCCCTGCACAGAGGCTTCTTGTGGATGTAATCAAGCCAGACAAGATCAGACTGAATTCCAGAGACCTTGAGCTGATGACAGGCAGGCACGGGGCTGGCCCTGGCACCCAGATGAGAAAGCTGGAGGAATCGTGTGGTGACAGAGCAGACTGGAGCCAGAAAAGGAGGGTCAGGAATGCAGAGGCCAGTGTGAGCCGAGAGCCTTAGACCCTGCAGAGGGAGCGCGGTCCTGTCTAGGGCACCTGATTCTAGAATTATAACCTTCAAAACTATGAGGAAATAAAACTCAGGTTCTATAGTTCAGGTACCCAGTTTGGGGTACTTTATTATCTCAAAAGAAAAACAAAGGTGGGGGGGGGGACACAAAAGGTCCAAAGAAAGAAACAGAGAGAGGTGAAGAATGCAGTATCTGAAGCTGGATCGGAAGAAAGATGAGAATCCTCAAACTTACAAAATAATAAAAATGGGAGATTCCTAGTTAAGTTTGAATTTTAGATAAACACAATTTTGGGGGGATAAAAATAGGTTCTATATAACATTTCAATCACGCAGACTATCCTTGTGTAACATCCCGTGACTAAGTCATTAAATGGGATATCCCTAAATGAGGAATTGTATGCTGTACGCATATTACAATATTTAGAACAAAGAAATGGTCAAAGGAGACTCCAATTTGATGGCTTTGCTTTTATTTATCTAACTCATAAGGCAATCCTATAATATATAACAGAACACAAAACTATAGTATCACATTATACAATTCAATCAGCAAAAAGTATAGTGTTGTACGAACAAGGTATACTGCACAAAGAAAGACACTGAGGCTCTATAAACAGGATGTAGAGAACTGTTCAAAACAAACAAACAAGAAAGATGGGTCATAAGTCCAAGGGGCACACATAAGCCTGAACGGTCACTAACTGGGTAGGTCATTAAATGAGGAATGTCTGTACTTATCTGAAATGCAAATGTTACTGAGGTTCACATAATTTATCTGGCAACTCTACTCAAATTAGACATTCGCAGAGAGTCCTGATAAGCATAAATTAAAGTAAATGTATGCTTAAATAAATCACTATGAAACCTCCATGCAATAATGAAGAGAAAGCGCTGAAAAGCAACTCTGTGGCCAAAACAGTGGCTGACAGCTGATTTTTCTTTACAGACAACGGAAGCCAAGGAATAATGGAATTACAGATTAAAATGGCCACAGAAGAGCTGTCAGCGTAAATGCATTTAGATAAATCATCATCAAGGATTAGGGCAAAATAATATATTTTATCACCAAGGCAGAGAATCTCCATGCCCAGATCTTGATTGGGGGATTATTAAGGGACGCACTAGGAAGTCATGGGAGGAGAGAAACGGATGAGCAAGCAGTTACATCTGCATATTCGGCCCAAGCACAACCCTCTGCGCATCAGGACCAGGTGACCTGCTTCTAACAAGCATGGTGCAGCAAAGTAATGGGCTGTTGTTTCTAAGGTTAGGACCTAAAAAAGTGCTGGCTCCCAGCCGGGTTCTCTCCTCACCACGTGTGCTGTGTTTAGTCCCACAGAGAGGTGCGTGGCATGAGAAGGAACAGAGGCCTCAGCCCAACAGCTTGCCAGTGTGTCAAATGGACCTCAGGAGTGAGTGTGGAGTTAGGTGCTCCGTCCCCTGCTGGAAACCGAGGTGGAGCTTGCCTGGTGGCAGAGAGACCCTGAGCCAGGACCAGCCACTGAGCTGCAGTCAGCCGCCAAAGTTTGGAGTAATTTATTGTCTTGCAATGAGAAACCAAGGCCAGTGCCAGCTGCAGGTAACAACGGGAATGAGGACCTATAGGTCAGCCAAAACAAGATGCAACGAGCGGTAAATAACAAAGTGGGAAATGCCTGTGAGGGGCTAGGGTTCGTGTGTTCTGGGTTCCTGTGCCACAGATGAGGGCAGAGAGACCGATCTATTGTAAAATGTGTTAAATAAAAATTTATGTTTAAACTTCAAAAAGCAATTAGTAAAGGAATAAAAACACAATTTCCAAACCACTGAAGAAGGAAAAATGAATGAAGGAAACTACTAAGGAAAAGAAAAGAACAAAAACAGAAGCAAGAAAAAAAAGCACAGAGTGATAAAAGCTACAGGGTGGAGCGTGCCTAAAAACCCAGTGCTCAGGAAGGCTGAAGCAGGAGGATCACAAGCTCTAGCCCAGCTTGGACCATTTAGTGATTTTGTAGGACCATGCGGCAAAACAAAAAATACTGTAAGTAAACAAAAAAGTAAACCAATAAAGTTAAAAAGGCTGAGGATACAGTACAGTGCAAATTCCCAGCACTGCAAAAAGCAAGAAAAAACCTAGTAGGGGTGGGGTAAGTAAGCTGTTAGAAAGTAATACAAATAAGAGTTATTGCAGCAGATATGAACAAAGATATCTGAACGGCTGAGTGCACGTTATCTCATATCGCATAAACTCTAGAGCTTGTCATTTCCTTCCTTTCTACACTCAAAGGAACTCAGAACTGCCAGTGGCTTGTGACATGCATCGTTTTTGAGGAGGCAGCTTGCAGGCGTGAGTCAAAATTAGTGACATAATTAAATTCACGGCGGCCAGTTTGAAGCTTGAGCTCGTGGGGTGTGAACTGTGTTCGAGGTCCAGAGCTGGACACAGCATTCTCCTACTCGTGGCCTCGCGTCTTAGTTTCCCAGGCATAACCTCTTCATAACTTGTATTTGTGACACTTTCAAAGGGAGAAACACACCACAAAGCTCCCCAGAAAAATCTAAGCCGCACAAACCGCAGTGCAACTGCTGAGTGCTAAAAATTAACTTGTGATGCTTTTCAGTCTCCATTTTGTTTGCTGTTAAATACCACCCTGTGGTATCTTACACCACTTTTAATTCCATGCTATGTCCACCTCTTTGTATCAATCAGCTGCGGGAATTTGCAGTCTAAGACTCCGATTTGCTGGTTCTTGGCGGTTCAGTTTCATTCTTTATTTATTAATCCGTCTCACAAAGCAGCGAGACCGAGATCTCTGCACACATGAACTTCTGCCCCAGGCCCGTGCCAACACTGGGGAGAGGGGGAAGCCCTTGTGCTCCTCCCCTGCCAAACTCAAACGTTCCAGATTGTGCAAAAATCATAAGAGACACTAAAAACTTGATAGGCTTGTTTATCCACAGCGAGAGCCCCAGTGTACCCTAAATTCGTGCAGACTTCCTGCTTTCCTTTTGCTGGCTCAGTTCCCCTGAGAATCCACCAAGACAAACTTGTTTAGCAGCTTCCTTTTCCACACAGACCAAAGGGGCCCACACCTCCACAGGAGCTCCAGACTTGCTACAGAGAAATCCAAGCAGGAGAGAGGGGCTGGTCCGCCAGTGCAAGAGGGAAAAGCTTCGGGTCACCGATCATCTGACCTCCACAAGGACCTGAAGTCTCGGGTTCAGATAACCAGGCAGGCGAGGGGTCCCTGCAATCCAGATTCCACCTCACCCTTATTCCAATTTCTTTTTCCTGGTAGTGAGCAAATTGGCTAGAACTGCCACCAAAATCCTTTGATGAGCATCTAAGGGTCCGGGACACTTCCAGTTGTAGATATGACAGGAAAATATTTTACCAAGTTCACTCTTGTCATGTAGGGTTGGGATCCCGCATAATAGACACAAGTCCCTAGCTGTGAAGCAGCCACCAACAGAGCCGGGTTCCAGCAGGCACACGAGAACCAGCTGGGGATGTTTTCAGCGTGTACTCACAGCATTCTCCAGGCAGCCTGCGTGTGTGAAGAAAACTTCATGAGTGGCACACACGCATATGCATATTTGAGGGGTTTTGCCTTTATTTTTAATCAAACTTTGACTAGTTTATGAATCCCAAAATTCCTATAGATTTTTAAAGAACATCCTACCTTTTAGAGAACTGGGGTCTTTCTATTTCTTTAAAATACATAGTAATGAGGCACAATCTTTAATAGGATTTTTTAAATAGGATTTTTTTTTAAATGTGTAATAGCAAAAAGAGTAGAAGAGAAGCACTCCCTAATGCATATGTAAATACATATGCTGAAATTAATAGTCAGGGGTTGATTCCCTTACGGGACTCCCTCGGAACTTAGAAATGTAGTTTTCCAGTTGTACAATAAAAAATTAAATCTAATGGATCAGAGCAGAGACTCAGCAAACCACCTTGAGCGACAAACCAAGAAGCCACTGTGACTTCAAAAAGGGGTTAACAGGGCTGAGGAGGGCTTCGAGCTGACACTGGGCTTGAATTGCTCCCCGCCACACAGCCAGGAGCCAATCCTTCCCTCTCAGTCCACTTACCAGCCGGCTTCCTGCAAACCAGCCTGCTGCGGGTACAGTAAGGATCCCTTCCAGGTCCTGAGGAGGCAGAGTTCCTGAGCCTGCAGCTTGAGGGACAAATCTGGGTGCCAGTTACTTCACTCATCATGAAGGACCCGGCCTTAGCCAACAACTCCTCCTCCAGGTGACACCTGTGCATCCTGGACCCTGGATGACATCCTGCTGGCCATGCCCAAACTGCTACCCATGCCCTTAACAAGGGTGACATTGGCCTCCAGTCTGTGCTCCTAACCCATCTCCACAGCTCTGCCTGCATCAGCACTGAATTGTCCCTCTGCCACTATGCACTGAGATGACCTGGGGGTCACAGCAGGGACAACCCTGAGCTAGCTGGATGTGGCCCCCAGCCCCTTGGCCTGCTTTCTTCTTTCTGATGGGTCCCAAGAGCTTGCTTCTCCACCTCCTCCTCCACAGCCTGTGCCTGGCACCACCGCACCTTCCTACCCACACTAGGTCTACCCTGCCTCCATGGCTGTCCTTTCCAGCCGCCCCTTCCCTGCTACCCTGTAGGCCACCCTGTGTGTGCGCCCCATCTTACAGCTTGGGAACTCTGTGCGGGTGTTGCACTGGGGCACTAAAGCCAAGCTGCTACCCAGTATCCTAACCTCTACCTTGTTGACTTAGAGAAGAAATAAGGCAGGCACCTGGCCACAGCAAAAAGGAGTCATCAACTTTTAGAAGGGGACATGGAAGACAACATCATCGGGAGGTGGAAGCATGGAAAGAGAAAGACAGAGATGCTGTCCAGACGTGGCCGGAGATGCCGATTCCTCTGGACAGCGATACCGATGTCACTGCTGCCATGGATGGCGGGGTCCTGGGCGGGTTTCCAGCTTCTTGTGCACCATGAACAAAGAATTGATGTGGCACATGACAGTGAGGGAAAAGCAGCAAAGTTTAATGAGCAAGGGTGCATGCCCAGTGAGTCGGCCAGCCGAAAGGAGAACGGCGGGAATGCTGAATCCATTGGGTTTAAAATCTTTAATGGGTCTCAAAATTCTGTGATATTTGGTGAAGTTGTTTCCATTAAAAAGTGTTGATTTTAAAAACTAGTAACTTAAAACTGCCCCCCGCAAAGGTCCACAAAACAGTCTCCTTTCCTTCTGAAGATTTTACAATGCATTCTTATCACTAACCTGTCTCACTATGAAACTTAAATGGCCAACTGGGAGAAGCAGTCTGAGAGTGATTTTTGCCATGGGTCAAGATTGAGATGGCAGATGTTAAGGGTAATCTTGGTTTGGCCTTCTGAGCTCCCCGGGCAGATTTGGTAACCTCACCAGTTCCAGCAGGCTTCTTGTCCCCTGCTTTGATGACGCTCACAGCAAGTGTCTGTCTTGTGTCACCAACAGCGAAATGACCCACAGGTGGGCAGTCAAAGAAGCACTCCACACGTATGCCCTTGCCTGGAGCCACATCAACGGTGGCAGGATCACCAGCTTCTTACAAGAATGTCAAATCCTGTCCCAGGACTAGGTGTCCTGCACTGGATCTTTCAGAGCATGACTGGCAGTGTGACAGACAGGGTGCTGAGGCCGGAGCCTTTACTGAGCTCAGAGCAGTGAGGTTACTGTAGGTCATGCCTTAGGGCCTGGCACACCTGAGTCTCTTGGCTTAGGACTTCAGAATCTTCCCCGTGGGCCTGGGCGGTCTTTGTGGCTTTAGGACAAAGGTCAAGGGTTGGTCCTGGGGCGTTTCCCAGGCTCAGGAGAGTGGAGGGGAGTTTGCCCTTAGCCCCATTGTACTTTCTGTGTTACTGCCTCTTCAGGGGGCTTTCTGGGTACTGGACTCTGAGCACCTTTCGAATCTCTGGCTGTAGAGAACCCTTTCTCATCCTCGTCGTGGTCCAGGAAGGTTTATATTTATAATCCCATGGAGAAGTTGTTGGAATTCTAGTGAGTTTATTCCAATCTCTCACTTCCAATGCAACCCAAGGTGAGAAGAAAGACACTAAGACATATACGCGTTATGGGGAGTCAAGAGGTCCCATATCCAGCCAAGATGGCGTCTCACCAGAACAAAGGCCACAACTCAGGGCCTAACCCAGGTTTTATTAATTCTCCACAAGGGCAGTGGCTCCAGGATGAGTGACAGTGAGAGTGGTGGGAAATATGTGACTACCCTGAACCGAGCTAGGTTGGAGGTCTGAGGTTACCTTGGCCATATGCAGAGGACAAGAAATGCAGAGAAAGTGATTTGCATAACACAGCCAAGGTGGTGTCTAGTAATCTGCGGTTGGGTGCTTCAGTTCTGATGCTCAATCCTGTTTTCCCCGGGAATTCACAGCCTCTTTCTCAAGGCTTGGTCTCAGCCAACAGTGTGGAGCATGGCTCTCCATCCTGCCTAGCTCAGCCATGTGTTTGGGGAGTCAGTGGGCAGGGTAACACTGACCTTGTCACCTTGCTTCAGAGATGACACATCAGCTCCTCAGTCAGCCCCATTTACATTGCTTAAAACCAACTGAAGGGACAAAGAAATGGCCTGGCCAACTCTGTACATATCAGTACATGGAGACAGGGCCAGGTTTATCCACAGTGGGGAGAGATGCTCTTCCAGAAGAGTCCTCTGGGTGGTTCCTCACAGCTGGCCATTTCCTGGGGCTGCCTGCACCACACTGATATGTGGTTCTGCAGCCTCCTCCTCCAGGTTCCAGGCCTGGTTCATCTTCCAATGCAAACACCAAATGTAATGCTGGGTGCCCGGCAGGCTCCCATTAGAAGGGCGTTGCACAGATGCACAGGATTCGACCATCGCTTCCTTCAGACTCTGCCCCCCCTCCATCCCCACAGGACCCCTAGCATCTCTGGCTTTCCTTTGCGGGGGGTTGGGGTGCAGCATTCTGAGGACCTTGATATTTCCCAGCATCTCAAAGCAAGGGCCCATAGAAGCCAGCCAGGCGGTTCCCTGGAGCAGCACCCTCGGGCTCAGCCTCTTTGCTCTCCTCCCTAAACCCTTTGGTCTCACCCTGAGTTTTGGGTCCCTGTAAGGCAATCTCCATTTGGATTGAATTGCTAAACTTTACTGTGCACTTTTCAGATCCCCAAACAATTAACCACATGTTCCCATTACCTCCAGTCTTCATGGAAAAATTCTTCTCAAGTGTTATTAAAATTCTGCTCCTTGATGAATAATCACTCCCTCTTTCCTCTCCCCTGCTCACAATTGTTTACTATGCCTCCAGGGCTTGCCAAAGGCACAGGTGGGAGCCGTTCCTCCTGCAGAAGGTTTATTTGCTTGTGGGTCTGCTCACGGGCAGGTGAGAACCAGGGCTCATAGGAGCATTGCTGAGGTCCCCAGGAGGAGGCCAAGGGCGGGCAGAAGGGGTTTGCTGACATCGGAGGACTCACATCCCTCGGGTGACCACGTGCAAGTGCAGGTCTCCACGAAGGTGTCTGCAAAGCCCCTGGGAGCCACCTTGGAAAGGAACACAAGCATCGTTTTCATTTTCAGAACAAATTTCTTTTTTTTTTTTTAAATTTTTTTTTGTCTTTTTCCTTTTTATCGATACCAGGGATTGAACTCATGACTGCCTGCTTGCAAGGCAGGCGCTTATGCCGCTGAGCTAAATCCCCAGCCCCTTCAGAACAAATTTCC